TTAACGAACCCCACAGATGGGAAGATTCCGGCAATTCTACGTGAAGAGGAAGAGAAGAGACGCCATTCGGCCAAAAATCGAGACCGCGGCTGGCAAAGACTTCGGCAAGACTACGGAAAGGGCGATGAAGAACCGCTCGGCCAAAAGAACGGATTTTTGGCTACCCTTCAAATAGCGTCCGTAACCCGAAAGTTCTTTCTAAACTTCCTTTGACAAGGCGTAAGTCCAGCAGAGGAACCATCCTGCCACACCTTCGAGTTGAGTCAAGTGATGGACAGCCACTTTGGGGAAGATTTGACAGCAACCCTCAAGCAAAGAATGTCACATGGGATTCTGACATTGCGCATATGATGGTCCATCAGTATCCAAAACAATGGAACAATCCTTGCTTTCACCTATACTCTCGTTGCTTGGATAGCAAGCGAGAGTATGCTGATCTAATTTGTCCTGGTCATGCGCAAATACGACCTCCATGCCGGTATGTTCATGGTAGCGCGCAGTAGATAGCAGTGGTTCTTGAAAGGTAAGTGCATGCTCATGCGCCTTCAATCCGTGTGACAAAATTAGAAGGCACAACACATCCTAGCCACCCACGGGGGCATCCCTCGAACGCTTGGAGTCGAAACAGCTAGTTGTCGGCGCTGCTCAGCTGGGCTTCTAAAGCATTGCCGTACCCAGGGGTCCAGCTTTTAGATTTCGCTTTGAGATGGCACCGGACTGGTGGGCGCTCTTGATGTGTTGAAGCGCAAGCAAGTTGAAGTGAACACCCCTCAAGCACATGTCATTGTTCTGGTGGATGCAAGAGAGGGGATGTTGAGATCCCCCGACAATAGAGATCACGCTAAGCTCATTGCCCGGTCCATTAAGCTCGAGAACTGTGCAAGACGGTAGGCTATAACCCTTCGCTGCTCTGTGCCTGAATGCCCCCGGGGATGCCCACGTCACCCTCATTGAACTCCAGAGGTTTGTTCAGCTCGATGCTGTCCAAGAAACGTTTCCAGGATGCTGGAGCCACCTCTCAAGAGCACATCGCTTTGGTTTGCGTGGCCTGAAGTGGCCACCTCCTCTTGCTTTGCTCCTATGTTTGCTGCATGTGGCACGGGGTGGTGTAACACATCGTTGGGCTCATTTCTTGGCATTTGATGCGATGAGTGGTAAGATCCCTCACCTGACGCACAACGTCCACGATGGTCCAAGCGCGGTTGAGACGAGCGTACCCCGGCATGTCTTCATAAGCCATCTGATAGGCCTCGGAGATCGGGAAATGCGGGAGCCTGTTCCATGGCACGAAGGTGGGAACCACAAATGAAGAGCGAACCCGCAGGATAGAATTGGTTGAGAATCGCAATGACATGTTGCCGACAAAACCAATAGAATGCTTGATTGACTTGGTCGTTCCCGCATTCCTTCACTCTCTAAGAACAAGCAAGATGAGCGGCAAGAGACATCATACGCCTGCGGTGAAGTGCAAAAATGGATGGATTGTGTTTTCTGGTTGGGATGCGGGCACGTATGGGAGTATATAGGAGTACATGGGAGTACACGAAAAGGGGTTCCTTGTTCTTTCGGCACATTCCCAATGTCAACCGGTCCTGCGGCCTTGAGGATTTCATGAATGTCCATGAAGTCACTTGTTCACTCTATGCTCAAAGCCTTCCGGGTATGCTTTATGTGCAACAGAGATTGATAGCTTGGGAAATCGAACCTATAACGCATACGCCCCGCTGCAAAGATGGGCAGACATATTTACTTGCTGCGCAACATATAACCAACCAAGTCGCTGCATGGCTCACAGTGGCAATCCCGGTTTTCAATGAAGCCGCACTGGATGCGGGAAGCTTTCAAGGGGGTCCAAAAACAAGAAGGGAGTGATCACGGGGGCCGCGGATTTCCTGGGACTTGATGCATAGGGCTTAGATCCTTCGAGTTGATGTTTCTCGTCACTCTGCAACGAACTCCTTGAGAATTCGCAGGCCTTGACAAGTGCTCGGAAGCGACAAAGCAACAACTAAAAAGAATGGCTGAGACCAAAAATCGGAAATCGAGTGGTGACTTCAGGGTTGCCAGAAGCCGATCACCTGGACCTGTCCGGCAAGGTTCTTGAGAAATCCAACACATGCAGACGGCTGGAATCGAAGAGTCGAGAATGATCCTTTTGACTAAGCACAAGCAAGGCATAGGCCCTTCGCGGAGAAGCTACATGCATTTGGAAAGCTGCACAAAGCGTGAGTTTCACTACTTGGTGACTTGATGATGTTCGCTCCAAGTTCAAGCAAACCCAGCCCGGCCCACGCCTGTGTGAGTTGGGCCACCAGCCTTGGCAAGCAACCCGCGAACTGCAAGGGCAAAGGGCTGGGAGCGGAAAGCAATCCACCGCTGTGATCTGTCTGATTCTCTGAACGTCTCCCTGTGTCTCTCGCCATGTCTTCGTACATTGCGTGCACGTGCGCTTCCACACGAGCAGGTGGGCAGGCAGGCAGAAAGCGTGTGGGCGGGTGGGCGATGATGCAAGCGGACATGCATGCATGCACGTGCGCGCAGGGGCTGCATGCGAGGGTGCCGGAGGCCAAACGTCAGCGCATGCATTCTGGATGAAAGGATGCACAGTGCAATGTGCATGCGCTTTTGCGTGCGGGCATACGCTCGAGGGCGTCTGTAAGTATACGTGTAGGTGCAAAAAGTCAGTGTGGATCTCGGTGCCGAGCTTCACGGTGTCGCACTGTAGCGGCTTCATGTTGTCACAGTGTGATAAAGTCGGTGCGTTGGTGTTGCAGTGTGTCAATGTGCCGGAGTGTCAGTGTGTCAGTGTGTCAGCATGTCAGTGTGTGTGTGTGTGCATGGGTGGGCGGGCAGGCGGACGGGCGGGCGGGCAGGTGGGCGGGCGGGCGCGCAGGTGGTTGGGTGGGTGGGTGCGTGGGTGCGTGGGTGTGCGCTTGTGCGAGAATGCGATCACTGCTTGGGCAATAGTGGCATCAAAGCAGGACCCTTTTCAAAGGCCACATAAGGACCACTGCTTTCTCTTTTTGTGTGAAAAGGTCCCTGTGTAGTTAAACACAGGCGCCTGGCAAAGCTGACACTTGGCAGCTGAGAAGCACGTTCAGGAGGAAGATTGAAGCCAGGAGCATAAAGGCTGAGATACAGAACAGGACGGCCGGTTGGTCCTGCAAGGATCTTGAATCTTGTCAAGTGCACAAGATATCCCACATCAGATTCTCAACAAACTTGACCCTTGGAGGGTGATTGGTCTAAACGCGCCAATGCGAGGTAAACCAGAGAGAAAACACATGTCCAAAGACAATACTGAATTGCCAAATGGTTGAGCTTAAATATTTGCCTTAGCTTCCAGAAGATAAATATCAAAAGGCTCTTCTACACACGTAAAGTAGAAAACAGTTGGACTACTTCAAACAACGTGCCGCCTAAATGTTTGTTAAACTGGCTTCGCAAATAGTATGACAACAACGCAGGAAAAGGCGGTGGTTTGTGTATGTTCGTCTGGGTTCTTGGCGATGGTGATGATGCAGAAACTTAGATTGCGCTACTATCCGTTGCAGACATACTTCTGGTGTGTGCAAGTCTCTCTTGGGTTAATCCGTGTGTCTCTGTTGTGTAGAGGCTTGATCCACAAGCAGGCTTAACGACCCAAAGGCTGCCGGAAAGAGCATGGTGGCTACTCCCCTACGCGGCCGTTCGCTAGCGTGCAATGACTGTGAAGTGCATAAGTGTAAAGCAACTGGGTTTCGCCATGGAAGTGCGGTCGCAACTTGAGAAAAGCTCTCTTTGCGTGCGGAGGAAAACGAGCATTTCGTCTACAAGAAAAGAGCGTGCTGTCCAGCTTCAGCAAGTGCCCGGCATCCCACTCCGGGCACGCAAACTTTGGGAGCTGTTCCCGGGCTTTGAAAACTCTCATGTCGAGCTTCGTAGAGGATTTAGACCTTTTAGAAGTGCTTGCGCGCACGTCTGGCGCAAAAGCTGGGAAAGCTTTGCGCATGAAAAGCTGCACGCTTTTTGCTTGGAGGGTGCGGCTATGTATGGATGTTTCCTGGAGTGGAAAACTGGGCTGCTGCCTAGCTCAATTACGCCATCTGTGGAAGAATCACGACTGTCAATGAATCAAAGCTTTAACTGCCTCCACTAAAGTTATCATCCAATGAGCGGAATTGCCATAGATGTCTACCAGTGAGCCCATGTAATGTGCAAGGCCCCAGCCACACCCCCTTACCCCCCAGTGTTAAAACATCCCAGTATGGTTGTGGAGCAAGTGACCCGGAATGCTACCCACGACACCAAAACAGTGTTGCCGTTGATTTCGAGATTTCTGGCCCGAAGTGTTTTGCACGCTTGAACCACAGCCTTCCCGCTTCCAAACTGCTGATACATGGGCTTTTTGGCTCACACACGCAGCACCCATGACAACTCCTTCTACTTGTCAAAACCGTCGACCAAACTCCAGCAAACAAGGACACCGACAGTCCAGCCAAAACAATCAAACACAAGCACCCCAGGTCTAAACGACTGGCCAAAGCCCCACTCGTTCCCGCAGAGAGGCCCGAAGGCAAGAAGAAGGGTCTTGAACCGAGTGCGCACAGCTCTCGACGCGGCGAACCACCAGCCGAAAAAACCAAAAGAAACGGCGAAATCCCCCTGAAAGCGGATCAGAACCGACCGAATCTAAGCCACGCTCCCATGACCAGATCCTAAGATTCTCACCTCGTCTCTATCGCACCCGTCTGCCCTGAATCTGTGCCCGACCATCTTGCCACGACTGTACAATGGGAGAACATTGGGAATCCCTCCACTTCAGGGGCATGCTTGGTGGACGCCAGAGTGCTTCTCAAGACAACATCCCACCCTCATCCGGAGCTGTCCTGGAATTGGTCAAGCTCCGTTGCAGGATAAATTCCCAAGGCTTTCGCGCTTAAGGAAGCTATGGCCGCATCCAGGTACCTTGGTGGACATGAACTTGATCGTATAAAAACATCAACAAATCGCGTGCTTCGTCAAAAAGTTAATGCTCTAAGCGGCAAGTAGTTGTCGCTCTGGTGTGTCAATATCGTCAAAGCCAAGGCAAAGGACAAGGTCATGAAGAAAGTTGCCATGAGGAAAAGGGCGAACTGCCTCAGCATTCGGCGGCAAGACAAGAAGAAAGCCGAGATCTCCATGTTGATGATGCTGAGGTCCTTGGGTACGGAAAGTTTCCCTCCGCTGATCAGGAACAGTGATTGGGAGTGAATCCCCATTAACTGTGAGGGTCGCGGTCAACAAACAACTTACTAAGCATCAAAAAACTGACTTCAAAAGATCAAGAGGAAACTTATTTGGCATCAACAAACAACCTTATTGGGCTCCCCTCCCCTCCCTCTCCCCTCTCCCCTCCCCTCTCCCCTCCCCTCTCTCCCCTCCCCTCCCTCCCTTCCTTCCTTCCTTCCTTCCTTCCTTTCCTTTCCTTTCCTTTCCTTTCCTTCCCTTCCTTCCTTCCTTCCTTCCTTCCCTTCGTGGCAGTTGCTTCAGGAATGGCAACTCAGTTTCTTATTGAATCCTAACAAGTTGTCGATTGATACTGAATAAGTTGTCTATTGATGCTATTTTTTTGAGACCTATCCTTGTGAAAAGTGCCCACTGTGCTACCAGCAGATCCTTCCCAATCACCACAACTAGATGATTATCGCTCGAAGCAGAGCAAATAGTTGCAATACCTTATTTGTCCTTTTATCATTATCTTTTTGTTTTATTTACTTCCCTAACTATCTCCAACATATGAATCCTTTTGCTTTCTCTTCCGCTTTTCATCTGTATCTATAATTCCAGTCTTTTAACACAGATACAGAATGGAGACAAGAACCAAGTGAAGGATGTCGAAGGAAGTGGGAATATACAGCTGGCAGCGAGACACTTGAAGCCTTGACATGCATGCTTCGCAATTCTCAAACTTCGTTTTGGGCTGAGAAGCACGCACAATCTAAGCAGCAAGCAATCGACAAACTGAGGCAGGCCGGCTGCAGCAGTGAATGCCACCAAAAGCATTTCTCGCCGCGTCTCGGTGATCAAGCCGCAGTACAGGAGCATGACGACGGCAGAGAGGAGAGCATATATATCCTTCGCTTGGCTTCAGCAAAATCACCAATGATCAATCCAGCATTCAAATGTTGATGGGCAATAGTGTTCAAGTAGCTCGAAGGTTGACCAAGCAGGCAGGTTGGAACACACAAGTACAAATTGCGGTTGTCAATTTATTGCAATGTGGACACGGATGCCGCTTTGTGGCATGGCAGTAGAACGGTGGCACAAGCTTGCAGGCACATGCAAGGTCCATGTCAATGCACACACCAGCAAAGTCACATCCGGACTAAATGTCAGCGCACACGCATGAGTGCATGCATTGCTGAAAATAAAGGCATCTGCCGCAAATATCCCTCGTCAGTCAACACTCACGAATCTCAGACTAAGGTCATACATAATAGTGCGGACGACACGTTCACCGGGTACAAAAACAAAGCGTGGACATTGGCTCATCTTCAAGTCCCCCCAGGAAGGAAACAGCGTAACAAGTTGAATGACGAGCCGTACGGCTTACGTCTCAAGGCAGCCTGCAAGTCCGGAATCGATTCTTTCACAGACCTGTCGGATGTACTTGACTCATGACTCCATGCAGCCGCCAATGCAGCCCAGGTGCAATCAGACCACAGCAACCAGACCATACAACAATTAGAAGAGGCTTGGACAAAGGAAAGCCATGCAAAATGACTTGCCTGTTCAGCCAAAATCTTACCTGCCCTCTCCTTCCAGACGATGCCGGCGGGACAGTAGGTTGTGAACAGCCCCGCGTGAGGGAAATCACCGTACATGTCGTTCAGGCACCACCAAATCGGCTCAAAGATGCACATGAGCAGCAACGTCAAGCTGAGCAACAGGTAGCAGGCCTACAAGCTGGTTGGATGGTTTGCTGGGACGTGAAGCGGGGAAGGACCGAATAACCTAGGCCACAAACAGTTCTGCTTGCGTTGCCTCGAGCGACACGACCACCCGCCTAGTCATCACCAAGACAGCAGTTGTGTAACGCTTGAATTGAAAATACCCAGAACCTCTCTTTCATAAGAATGGTGTGCGGGTGTGGATGTGTGACACTGTCCACCGCACGCAAAACGGCTCCGGAGCCCTCCATGACAAACGCCGACCATAGAAGCAGGAAAAAACAGAAAAAGAAAAAAAGCACGGAAGCCAACAAAACAACGGGTGAAATGGCACACAACCGAAACCCCATCGCCTCTTGCACATCGCATAGATGTTCCGGCACCGGCACAATGCCGCGCACGCGAACGATCCGCCCAAGCCGCAAGTCATTCGCGAAGCGAATAAACTGGCGCGAGAGCAGTCGACCCATGCTGCCCAAGTAGATGAAAACTCTCAAGCTGAAGACCGTGGCGTTCACGGCTTTACTGTATTCCCCGTGGTTGGCCACGCTGGCCACGACCGACTGGCTGGCCGCAAACACCAAGAGAGTCAACAAAAAATAGGCACGGCCCAAAATGAAGTAGGGGATCGCAAGGTTGTGCCAGACTGTGTCAGAAAGCAAGCTGACAGCTGGATGGGATATGAGCTTCGGATTGCCATACTCAGCAAGCCACTCCAAGCAGGGATTAAACTTGCCCTCCTTGCTCTGCAGCAAGTGCTTGATGAAGTAGTTCACCCGTCTTACACCGTGATGAGACGTCCTTGAACGCCAGATAAGACCATCAAACAGCACCGGCAACAGCAGCGGACCTTCTGCGCACAGCTTCTTGATCACCTGGCAATGGAACTCAGCTGTGTTTTCCACCGACTGAGCCAGGTAAGGAGCTGCTTCTATAGGAACCGCTACATAAAATATGCTACGAAAACTTCATCTGGTTTTTGTGGCAATGAACAAGGAGCTGCTCTCCCTTATTCCTTTTGTTCCCGTAGCTAAACCCTGCGGGTGTGGGCTTGGCGCATAAATTACCAAACGCAAAGGGCAGCACGTATCATGCATTCTTCACAGCACGTACTCCGGTCAAATGAAATCTCCATGTTGGTGAGTTTGGCTTTATTCCCCAAAAAACTTAGCTGTTGGAGTTCTCCATTCTTGCAAAGAATTGCTCCGGCAAATGGCAACCAAACGAGCAAACAGGACGTTTGTCGCAAAGAATCTAGACACTGCCTCCGTCGCAACCGGAAAAGTGCAACAACGCAAAGCGACTGCGCGCTGCCTCTGGGTGGCGCCCAAAAAGATCATCAGCGCCGAAGTAGTACTTGTCACGATCCGCCCGGATTGTGAGGAGGTCCTGCGGATCAAAGTGACGGGACTGGACTCTAGTCTGGCCATAACCTCCTTTCAAGCCGAGAAGTGGCGCCTGAAACAAGATTTCAGCAGATTCGTGATCCCGAGACAGGCGGTGAAAGATGTATGGAAGCAAAGTAACCTGCGAGCCCAGGTCTGAGACCCAGTGGCAAACCTCAACCCGGCCAACTTTTTTCGCAACTTTAACTTGCACGTGTCGGGGATATGTGTGTGTCCATACCAATTGCACCTTGATTCATTTCGAAGGGGCTCTGCAGATGCAACTAACCACTCAAAAGTGTCCCTCGTTTTGAATCTTGCCAAATAACTTTGCTTCCCAGGCCCGAAGCTATTGACGGGCTTCTTCTGCGCGCCAGATCCATTTGGAGGGGGGGTTGCAGTAGAAAGCGGCCAAGGTGACAGTGCGCGTGGATTTGAAAGTGTGATGTCAAATATCATGTTCAAGGTGGGTGAAAGTCTTCGAGTTTCCGATTAAAACTAGAACAATGAGATGTGTTTTGTTCAATGGGCTCGCTGGTCAGGAGAGCAAAGTCGCCTCTGGTAGCTGCTCCAAGGGCAGCTGGGTCGGTGTCAAAATAGGGGGCCCGCGAATACCCCCAAATTGACTCCCATCAAACTGAGAAACTCGGGTCCCTACGCATGGACTTCGGTCCTCGATCATGGCTCTGGCAGAGTTCAAACTTCCAGACTCCACTGCCCAGTAGAAGGGCGAGATCGATTCCGTGCCGACCTCGGATCCAACGGACACAAGTTAGCTTTGGGGATACGGAAATGAAGCCAACCTGTCGGCGGAATTCAGGGGGGGCCATCCCAATTAGTAAGTATGACAAAAACCTGGAGAAATTGATAAGACTCGCTAGAAGCTGTTTTTCTTCCCATCTTCGCGACGTTTCTCCAACTCAGTACTTCTCCAGTCGAAGGTGCCCGGATCTCCAGGAGCTCCATGGCCCGCTTGGCCCGTGGTGCTATCGAGATGGCCCGACGCAGCACCGACTCCTGACGGACGGGCGGTCGATGCGAGCCGAATCCCTGGGAATTGTCAACTTAAGTTGAACCCAGCGGAAACCAGCAGGCTGCTAGATCTTCATTTACAATGCTTTTCCCGGCCCGAGCAAGATAGAATACAAGAAGTACGCCATGTTCCTTGGCTTCACCTTTGCTTCTACAGCAGCAGATTGAGATGCAATTGCATGCACAAGCTGCAGTAAGCCTTCCAGATCTTTCAGAAGGCCAGGAGTCAGCAAGCGAAGCCCATGACTTCTAATAGGCGTAGAGCGGAGAGCCTGCCCCGAAAAGCGACAAGGTTTGCACAGCAACCAGGCTCCTGGTTGGTATTGATGGCTTTCATGACGATTGTCGAGCCCTCCAGGCATGTGCCTCAGTCACAGCCTTCTTGGCCTGCCATCTGTTTACCATAGAAACCCCGCGGCAATGCAGGCTTCTCCATGTCACTAGGCCAGCTGGCGGGATCTCCCTGTTTCGCCCCCTTTCCGGAACTTTCTCTGAGGCCGCAGGCGGGTCAAAATCTTGGCCACCAGCGTGAGCGCCCAGTTGAAGCCCTCCGCCGCAGCCTGGCCGAGTTGGTCGTCGCTTGGGCTGGACAGACTGAGGGCTTGCAGGCAGTTTGTGTGCCAATAATTGGTCGAGCTATGGCAGGAGTTGATTCACGATTTGTTCTGCCAAATAGGCCTTCATAGCCTCGCTGCTTCCCAGCCTTGTCAGTTGCCATGTCTCGCACGACTTCTACCGCGGCCGCGACGAAGGGAGAAAACCTCAAATGGCAGGTCAGGCACGTGTCTTTGAACACAAGCACACAAACAGCTTAGGACTAATCAATGGTACTGAGATGCACAAATGTCATGTGCCGGGAGGTACTCCTAACACAGGTTGGTTCTGCGTGGCTCTCCTTTGAGCAGCATTCAAAAAGGCCCCCCTATCTTGGGACGGGCTCTATTGCCCATATCTAACATCTATCTTGATAAATAAATAGATAGACAAATGGCTGTTATTTTTAAAAGGGGGACCCTTTGGTGGACATCATTCATATTTGAAGGGGTGCCCTATTACATTTCATAGCCAAATACAGTAGATGTGTCGCCGCATTCAAGCCACGTCGAAATTCACAAAAGGGTCTACGGTGGTGTCGTATAGTAGGCGACCACCCTCCGCCCCAACCCCAAGATGGGGGTGACAAAAACCACAACACCCTTCATCATGGTGAGCTCGTGTTACCTGCGAGTCGGTGACACCTTTCGCGCATTGAGCAGCTGTCAAAATAGGGGTTCCGACTTTACACCAACCCCAAGATGTTGCTCCGGACTCCGGAGCATTGGGCTGAGACCAGCGCTTGGGGTGTCCCACGCACATTGGGCTTCCCAAAACCGTGGCTTTCCTAAATGATGTCCCGCGCCCAAAACGAGCTCCGCCGCGGGGCAGCTCCACGGGCACCTCGTAGCCCACATGGCGCAGGCCCAGCGCGGAGATGTCCTCCACCAACTTCCGGGGGGCCCTGCGATCCGATCATCGGGGAGCTACAAAAGCGCTAAGGTGGCTAAGGGAGGTGGGGGGCAGCCAGTTTGAGCCTGTTGCCTATGGTGTAGTGGCGTTTGGGGACTGATGACATCATATGACATCGCAGTCAAAGGGCTGCTCCATTTCGCTCGACTCTTTGGATTGTTCTGTCTTTCGCTAGAGTCTGTCGATGTTGTTGCAGCATAATGAGAGTAAGCTTTCCATCTTAGCCACCATGCTTCAGTCCTGGACAGGTCTTGGTTTCCTCCGGTAGACCTCCACCCCCAACAGTACACAGCTGAAACTTTGTGTTGTCTTTGACTCCTGCACCGCACTGCAATGTGTCTTGGCAGGTTTGGACAATGAAGATTGCAGGATTTGGGCCCCAAGCTGCTTTCCCGAACCTTCGCCCTGAATAGTCCAGCTTTTGCGCTGCGGACGGTGCGCGAAAGCTGGCTTAGGTATCGATTCTGGGCCCGCGCGCTTACCATTTGGCAGGCTTGCGTGCAATGCTGAGCGGGTGCACTTGAGCGCGCACCCCAGTAGCTTCGACAAAATAGTGTCTGAGTCGGGCGAACTTGTTTCACAATTGCGCGAAATAGCTTCTGAATCGGGCGAAATGCCAAATAGTTTCCGATTCGCGCCCGGGAGTAGTTTCTGAATCGTACAAAATAGTTTCGGATTCGTTTCTGAACCGCAGGTAATTTTTGAAGCGGTCGACACTCCTGGCTGGCTCTGTCTTGTGTCATCTGTATCTGACTGCCCGGAGCTGGCATTCCTGGAGCTGCTGGCGCTCAGGCGGATTCTAACAACCCTGCGCGGGGTAAATGGGAAATATCACACTCCCAGGGATAAGGAAGTAAAATACATTCGGGGGCCGATGTATGGTGGGAAGGTGGCAAGACAGTTCCAGGGCTTAACAGGTTCCAGCCTGAAAATATCCATGGTCATGTCCACAACTCGGTCTGCGATGAAGTCCAGTCGCGTATTCGACTGCTTGAAGTAGTCCTGCCCTGCTGGCGCCTCGGGATTTCTCCCTGCTTGCTGAAACCTCAAAACTTCAAACCTGGACTCCAAGGGAGGGCCAAGCTATACCAGCTATTGCTCATTGCAGTCCAAATGCCCGAGAATTCATGACACGGGCATGAAATTTGAAGTAAACGTGTCTCATACTCTCATGACATTATTTTGTGATTTTCTCGACTGGCCAAAGGATTGACGAGCAGCAATGAGGAAGAAGCGCACGTACACTTCCTGGCCCCATGCCACCCGGACAGACCCATCCCAAGTAGCACCCGCAAAAAAGTGGGCCAAACACACCTTGCTAATGCTAAAAAGCAAAGTGTTCGTAAATGATGACAGGCACGGTCAACAAGACCTATTTTATTCCCCCAAGAGCATCTGGAGCATGTTTTGAGGTTTTTGCGGGGATTCGGTGAGTTCCCCCATGTTTCTCCCAAATGAACCATAGATTACCAGTAATGACCGAATATGCCGAGGTCCCCCTTGCTTTTTGCGAGTGCTCATGGCGTCCTTCCGCAGGTATACCAAGTCTTGCTCCGTCAGATTCCGCATAAAGCGATTCAAGGCCTAAGGTCGGGGTGCGAGCTCCCCTGTTTCCCGGAGAGCACTCGAAGACGTGGGAAATGAGATGGGTTCCACTGGAATAGAAGCAAACACTCGGCATGGATTCGAGTGAGCGCAGAACATGGGAAGCTGGAGACCCGCAAAGCGGGTCTCAGCTGTGCTCTTAGGGTGCACCACCATGCCGGTGCCTTTGAATTGCTGACTCTTCTGAAGGACAAGCATGGGTTTTGCTTGGGCTAAGCACACACTCATGCTGACACATGTAAAACCAAAGCAGTAAGAAAGCTGGGCGGCAACCAGGCACGGTGCATGAATTTCCCACCCACCCCCATCCCCTACTTTACCTCGCTCAGAATATGCTGACCCTGAAAACTAACTGCACAAACCCCGCCTCCCAAAAACCGCTGCAAATGCCCGCCTTCACCCGCCATCTCTGACTCTGGGCTCCCGGGCGCTCTCAAAGTACTTGGGCTTCCCAATCTGCAATTGAAGGATGTGCTCCACGTTCTCCCACAGCCAGTTCCACGCCTGCTCATGCAGGCTGTCCCACTCCTGCAAGACTAAACGAATACCAGGGCAATACTAGCAGAATACTTTGGGAATAGTAGGGGAATAGGAGGGAATAGTAAGGGAACAGAAAGGGAATGCTACGTAAGCTGATGGTACCTCCTTGATTGCAAAAACTCACTCATCTTAGTAGCGGATGGATGTCTTTACTGCGTTGCCAGGTCTTTGTCTTTTTTAACAATATGGGATTCAAGATTCAACATTCAAGATTCAAGATGTCAAAGCAATTTCTGAAATCATTGAATCTTGAATCCCAAGATGTCAAAGCAGTCCGTTTCTGAAATTAATGATTCTTGAATCTCGAATCCCCCTCAAAGAAAATACAATATTGCAACAGTAGAACAAACATCAACATTGGTCAATCTGGCTGCAAATATGGCTTTCCCAATCGCATGCTTAGAGGCATATAATTTCCAGACCCAAATAACGATCATATTTGCTACTGTGGTACTCCCCCTTCTCTGAGATCCAGATTTGCTGGTTTTTGCATCTATTTTTCCGTGAGTAGGTCAACATGCAGCTAAAACCTGAAAAAGGTAGTTGTATATGTTCTTCTTATTTTGTGTTTTCTTGGGGGGCACCACATACATATTAATATATATATATATGTATCGACATATATATGTATGGTGCATGCGTAGCAAATTCATTGATCGCAAGCAATTAGGGTCTTTTGACCAGGCACACAAGCATCTTCAACAAGAGGAGAGTGCGAGAATGTGGTCGGCATGTGTCCTTTTGCCATCCGTTTGCATGTGCCTTTCGATTGCGAGTCCAAAAAGGAGGTCGTCCTCTCGCTTCAATGAACCGGATACGATCACCCAATTGTTCAAGGGTTTAATTTGTTCACCGAGTCGGCCCGCGACCCGAAGATCTTCCAGTTGCCTAGCAGTTTTCAAACGAAGCTGTTTTCTTCGTTTGAAGTGTACACGTTTCAGGTGGGGAAGCAAGGGAAACCAGGTTGTTGGGGCTCCCCGTTTGCGAATATACCCTGCTTTCGCGCCGCCCGTCCTTTGGCACTAAGGACCGCAGGGAGGCCAACATCACAGCCTTGAACTCTGAGAAGTTGATGGGCCCCTGCTCCTCAGAGTTGCAACTGAAACGAGACATGAAAAAAACCTGTTGCCCGAAATCGTAAGCTGCACTCGTCATCCCGAAAAAGGCACATCGTGGGTGGGGTTTCAGTCCATGTGGACAGTTTAATTTGCCAACCGATGTGGCAGCAATTGTCCAATCTTGACAAATGATCCCTGGGAACTTTGTTTGTTCCTGTCGTCTGGCGCTTTCCGCTTTGGCTTCAGGGATCCTTTCTGGCTTTTGAGCGTGTGCCTGAACATGGTCAGTTGCTGCGAACTCAACCCTCTCCTTCGCCAAAATCAGGGAGAGCACATCGCATTCCTCCTGCAAGCGGTGGGAGTTGGCCACGTTGGTGACGATGTTGTCGAACTGCTCCAGCACGGGGTTCATCCAAACGCTGGCAGCGAAGCCCATGACGGCTGCACTGAAGCGAAACATGTCGTCAAAGGAGTTCGGCACCTTAGGCGATGCCTTCAGCTGAGATGCGAATCTCCCAAAACGGGCTCTAGCACTCACATCGCGTCACCCTACCATCGTTCAAAAAGTACACACATGGAACCTGTAAAAACACACAATGGAATACTGACAATGGTAGACAGCGGAACTTGAACCTCTGACCCAACAGGCACACACACACACACACGCACACGCACAGCGACACCTTGCGCCTTCCGGCCCGCAAGTTGACTTTTGACATCAACACAAGAACAGAGCCGGTCGCACCTGGTCAGTGTGTGCGACCAAAGGGACTTCAAGGCAAAGACCCGTTGCTATGTGAAGAATTAGTTTCGATGCAAGGGGAGCCTGCCCAGCAACGCGAAACGTTGCGGCATGGTCACCTTCAAATCGACCCCGCCCGTCTGGGTCAAGGATGTGATCTTGTTCTTCTCCTCAGTGCCTGACGGGCATGTAGCCATCTCAGCAATCTGGAAGCGCATCATGCATCACTCAGGAGAATTGGAACCCCAAAAAGACTGGCGACATAGCGAGACGCCGTCATTGTGAGTTGGCTGTTAGCCCTCGCGCTACGAGGGCAAGAGGCGAACGTGGACTTCAACAACTGACAGTGCCTGCCTCCTGTCCCTCCTGTTCCCAGGCTCTTGTTCGCCAATGGCGAAGACGTTGTTGGGGATGGATTGGATGATGGAGGCTGTGAAACCTCCTCTTTTGCTTCAACTTCCAAGCCCTTCTCCTCACGCGAGGGTTTGTCCTCTGGATCGCCCTCCACCTCTTGGCTATTAGCCAATTTCCAGCTTCGCTGGATCCTGGGCAAGTCTGGGGTAAGCTTCAGCTAGCAGAGTCTCCTTCTCACTTCGCAGCACATGCATGGAACATATATGTGTATGTGTGTGTGTCCGTAAGCAAACATGCTTCAAGGAGGTAATTGCTGCCAGGACTGTCCTTTAATAAGGCACGCAATGGAACAAATCATGGAAGGATTGAGTATTGCTTGTTATATCTGGGATATTTGTACGTAAAGATGGTTGCGCCGATTGCTTCAAATGCTGCCACACTCGCACTGTTGATTTGCATAAGAAGGCCGGCCGCACTTCCACAAGTTCTGAAGTGTGGCCCCAGCCCGCTTGATCCGAGCCACACCCGAACACGAGCCGCATACTCCCGGCGGATAAAAATGTAGCCGCCACCACAGTAGTTCAAGACTGCACGCAATCCCGCCGCGGCCTGGACGATGCGGGACGGATGGCTTTGCACCGGGGAAGATTATCTCGCCAGCTTTAAACAAGAACCTCGAGCACCACTCATTGCAAGAAATGCGAGTGCTCCCTTGCCCGCCCTAACATGAGTTGGGCAGCTTTGTGCACGATACTGAAGTGACAGAAATTAGAAAGGGAGCATTCGAACAATTACTGGTAAGCCCCTGTGAATGGTAGTTTTCCCAGATCCCACTCATTCTGTGCTCTGCGTGTGGTTGTTGCTTGCCAAGCTAGAATTAAGACTAAGACCATTTCGGTGCATGATGGTAATGCAAGACATGCAAACACTTGCAAAAACAACAGGAAAACAAATCGAGTTGAGTTCGGCAGAGTGATAGCACTTTCCCATAGTTTCACAGCGCGAGCAACGCAGTCCAATGTGACCCAGCACCAACCCCCCCGATTGGAAAGCCAGAAAGCTCACTGTTCATGAGAGTCTTGTTTTCACAAGCCCTTGGCAACAGGGATGTCCACCTACCAACACACACACACACATGCACGCACGCACAAATACTCTTCGCATCCAACCCCCCCCCCCAGCGGGAGCCTTGGGGCTGAGCCTGGTCGGAAGCTCTAGGTTCATAACCTCGATGATGGCTTCCCGGAACAAGCCCACCAGCTCCTTGGTCACCTGCCAACTTGAACGACCAGCTCAAGCGTGGGCTTAGAGCGCATCTGTGCAATGCCAGACTGTCCGTCTGCAAGGAACACACCATACGACTACCTCCCCGCTGAACACAACCCAAACAAAACAGAAATCAAACAATTTCAGTGTCAGGCCTCGCGGTCGAGGTGCTGAAAGCCCATCTGCTCCACCTGGTGAAATGGGCTTGGTTTACCTTGGGCTTCTTTGGAAGCCCCCACGATGCAAGTCCATGGCCGGCGACAGTTTCTAGTTTCTTGGACCTGAATGCAAATCAACCAGCCAACCCCAACCCAATCCCGACTCAATCCCAATCAAACCCCAGCCCAACCAACCAACCAACAAACCAACCAACCAACCAACCAACAAACCAACCAACCAACCAACCAACCAACCAACCAACCAACCAACCAACCAACCAACCAGCCGACCGAGCAACCGACCGACCCGCCGACCAGCCGAAGCCAACCAGCCGAAGCCAACCAGCCAGCCAGCCAGCCAGCCAGCCAGCCAGCTATCCGGCTATCCATCCATCCATCCAACCAATTAACCCACCAACCAACCAACAAACCGACCAGCCAAAGCCAACCAGCCGAAGCCAACCAGCCAGCCAGCCATCCATCCATCCAACCAATTAACCAACCAACCAACCAACAAACCGACCAGCCAAAGCCAACCAGCCGAAGCCAACCAGCCAGCCAGCCAGCCATCCATGCATCTATCCATCCATCAACCAACCAACCAACCAGCCGACCGAGCAACCGACCCAGCGAAGCCAACACGCCAGCCAGCCAGCCAGGCAGCCAGCCAGCCGTCCATCCATCCATCCAACCAACCAATTTACCAACCAATTTACCAACCAACCAACCAACCAACCAACCAAACAACCAACCAGCCGACCGAGCAACCGACCGACCCGCCGACCAGCCGAAGCCAACCAGCCGAAGCCAACCAGCCGAAGCCAGCCAGCCAGCCAGCCAGCCAGCCAGCCAGCTATCCGGCCATCCATCCATCCATCCATCCAACCAATTAACCAACCAACCAACCAACAAACCGACCAGCCAAAGCCAACCAGCCAGCCAGCCAGCCAGCCATCCATCCATCCATCCATCCATCCATCCAACCAATTAACCAACCAACCAACCAACAAACCGACCAGCCAAAGCCAACCAGCCGAAGCCAACCAGCCAGCCAGCCAGCCATCCATCCATGCATCTATCCATCCATCAACCAACCAACCAACCAACCAGCCGACCGAGCAACCGACCCAGCCAGCCAGCCAGCCAGCCAGCCGTCCATCCATCCATCCAACCAACCAATTTACCAACCAATTTACCAACCAACCAACCAACCAACAAACCAACCAACCAACCAACCAACCAACCAACCAACCAACCAACCAACCAACCAACCAACCAACCAACCAACCAACCAACCAACCAACCAACCGACCAGCCGACCAGCCGACCAGCCGACCAGCCGACCAGCCGAAAGCCAACCAGCTGAAGCCAGCCAGCCATCCATCCGTCCATCCATCCATCCATCCAACCAATTAACCAACCAACCAACCAACAAACCGACCAGCCAAAGCCAACCAGCCGAAGCCAGCCAGCCAGCCATCCATCCATGCATCTATCCATCCATCAACCAACCAACCAACCAACCAACCAGCCGACCGAGCAACCGACCCAGCGAAGCCAACACGCCAGCCAGCCAGCCAGCCAGCCAGCCGTCCATCCATCCAACCAACCAATTTACCAACCAATTTACCAACCAAGCAACCAACCAACCAACCAACCAACCAACCAACCAACCAACCAACCAACCAACCAACCCAACCAACCAACCGACCAGCCGACCAGCCGACCAGCCGACCAGCCGACCAGCCGAAAGCCAACCAGCCGAAGCCAGCCAGCCAGCCATCCATCCGTCCAACCAATTCACCAACCAACCACAAGTCCCGCCTCTCTGCGCAGCGCTTCTGGGCGGTTGGATATGCCGATGATCCTTGAAAGACCATGCCTCGGCGGAAAAGGTGCGGCTCAAAGCTTGTGCAGGGGAGCCGGGAAGGCTGCTCCGAGGAATTGTTGGCTGACGCACTCGACTGCATGCAAAAGACATTTGTTACTACGCCCGGCCAATCTAGAAGATTTGATCAGACGCGTCCATCCGGCTCTGCTCGAAGGGGTCTTGTGAAGTGGCGAAATCCATGGCCATTCTTTAAGAACATCCAACGATCACCATTGATCAATCAAATGGGACACGCTTCGAGGTTGGCGTCCAAGGAAGCCAACAGCAGGCCAATCAAATGCAGGGCAGCCAAAAGTGTTTGGTCACGAGACGCAGCCACCGTCCGCCCCATCCGTGCGCTAGGGCGCAAAAAGATGGAGAAAAAACACTGGCCAAGGAGCATAAAGCGAACAGCCATAACTGGGCGCGGTGTCTTAAAAAGATTTTGGATGCTGTGGGAAGCATCGAAGATGGCGGCGTAGATAGCCTCCCCCGCTGCGTCCCGGCTTACCTGCCCTGAGATGAACCTGGCCATCGACCAGATTTCCAGCCCAAATTTCCACCGGAAATTATGCGGGAGGTTGGTCATTCCAAACAAGGAAACAACGTGCACCTCAGTGGAAAATGTTCCATTCCCAGTCACAAAGCGATTGATTTGGTCATGTGGCGGGGACCACGGGCCCGATATGTGTGGAAAAGGCAAAAATGATTCAACACGCACTGGTCATGGCCGATTTGCATGGGCACCTCCTTGGATCGGGAGCAAACAGGTGTGCAGCTGGGTCACTATCTGATGTCTCTTTTGGGCTTATGTTTTCGGATAATTGCTTAGGGGTGAAGATGCAACTCCAGCCTGTTCCAAGCGTCGGAGGCTTCAGCAAAAACGTCCGAGGGCATACGCAGCTCATCGAGTGTAGTGTCTTGGACATTCTGATACAGCTGCACGCTTTCGTCTGTATAGACCTCGTCCACTTGCGATCCCGAATCGGGATCCTCCGCATCCTCCAAATAGTCGGTATCACCATCTTCTGGCAGATCTTCCTCCATGTCACTCTCATCTGATATCATGG